CTGCTCCTGCTCCTGCTCCTGCTGTTAATGGTGACGTACGGCCAGACGTTGTAGCGTCAAACACAGAGACTCAATCCAACCCATGGACCGACGGGACGTTTCAGACAGGGACAATTCGGAACGGCGAGATACACATGGATCGTCAGGCAGGAAGACCCGAAGGTGGAAGTCTGAGCGATGAGCAGCTTCGGAGAGCACTGGAGGAACGAATGAGAGATTTGGGTACGGAAGACGACGAAGGAGGCATGCATCTCTAAAATAAAATAAAACATTAGAAAGGGGCATGCAAGACTCGAACATAATGCATGACTGGCGTTTGGTACATGGACACACATCATGGTGGGATACCCAAAAGTAAGCTGCTTGGTAACACTTATGAACAGGCCGCAATTATGAAATTCAGCCTACACAACTAGTCACAAAAGGCTACAAGCGATGAGATTTCAAATCCAATTTTGCTATTTTTTCTACTTCTCAGCTACTAATCCGCTGAGGGTTCCTGCATTGATCTCTACTGAAAGTAGTGGCAGGGTTGACTTGTCGCAATTGGCGATTGAAAAGCATGAATCGCCTCCCTTTTTGTGTGAATGAGACAAAAGAAAAGTAAACAAATAACCGCCTGCTCCAGCGCCGAAGTGCTATGCGACCCAATGCTAAAAACAGAAAACAAGACTAAACCAAACCCATACAAATGCTTGTAGACAAGAAAAAGTCGAGCTGAAACATGTACTGAGAAAACCGAAAGGACGGTGCTCAAACGAACTGACCACATGCAAAAAGACATGTGAGACGTGAGACGGGTGTTGAGGGAGGAACAAAACTGCTAGAGCGTGAGAGGAGAAACAGTCTTGCATGAAGATAATGGGTACGTGGGGGCTCCATATCTTCGATACGGTGGCTTGGGAATTTGTTTCACTCAGATTTGAGTTAATCAGTATCGTCGCCAACAGGGGAGGCAGCGCCTGAAAGTCTCTTTGATCGAGTGGATCTTTGCCGCTTGGATCGCTTCGAGGACATCCTTGTGGTAGTAGCCGACCTTGTGCTCTCGATGGTCTCAAGCTTTGGTCGTTGGGCGACGGATGGCTTTCGGCGAGTGCTCAACTGTCTGGCGCTTTGCGAAAAGGGAACTGGCACGTCGGAATCTGAATCATCATCTGAAGAATCGTATCCTGGTGGTGCAGCAACGGGTCGGAGTCTTGTCTTTCGCTTCGCGAAGCCACTATCAAGCGAATCGTCGGAAGTCTCGAATGACAGGCTTCGGGTGCGCTGGATAGAAAGAGATGGGTTTGTTCGGTTCAGGAAGAGAGATTCGATGAGTTCGGTTTCTGTAGGGTTGCCATGCTCTTTCCTCAACTTCTCCTTAACAAGCTTCTCGTGAACCAGACGGCTGAGCTGTGTGTCTTCTCCGACCAGTGTCCTACCGCTGGACTTGCTTCCAGAACTTCCAGCCCGGCTAACGGGCACCTTGCCCTCCATGACCTTGGCCGATGGCGGCGGCTGCAACATCCATTGGTGGGCGTTTCGTGAAGGCGCCTTGCTGCTGACGACGGGAGGGTGATATTCGTTGACTGGTGGGTTCTTGGGGAAGTAAAACTCGTGGCGTTGCTGTTCAGTCACCTCCTTCTCAAGACCGAGAGTAGACTCGATTAATCGTCCAGCCGAATCTCTCGCTTTAGATATGGCGTCCATGAATTTGTGATGTCCCCATAACTCCTCATCCTCACGCTGATATCCATGGCGTCGGTTCCAATCGTCTGAGAGGCTATCGTCTTCGGCAATGACGGAATTGCTAGCGCCAAAATTCATGCGGCTTCCACCATTGTTCGTCTGTTCGGATACGCTGAAAGCACTGTCGGCACCCTGACTGGTAAGGCCACGCTGACTGGAATTTTTGCTCGCTGATTTCTTCGGTAAAGATGGTCCCATGTTGATCTCTTCCTGCCAGTAAGGGTTTGTGTTGAAAGGTGAGGGATGCTGGTAAACATCTGGTTGCTGTCCCACTACTCTCGCCTTCTCCTCGCGCTCCCTCTTAGATTGCTCGCTTGCTTTTTGTCGATGCCGGATCTGAGTGCATGGCGTGCAGGCGAGAACGTAGAAGACGACGGACTGAAGTGCGACGGGTAGAGACATGTTGGCGGTCGTCGCTTTGTGTATGTTATACCGGGCATAAGAGTCGCTTGGTTTGGCTAGCTCGTAATCGACACAACGCGTATGAAGCGATGAGCACAGTTTATATAAATAATAGCTTGGGACAAACAATGGAAAACGAAGTTACAGCAGAGGGCACAGAGACATAAAGTAAGGGAGTCGCAGCTTCAAAAGGGGTCCAGCCCAAGAATGAGCAGATTGATAGTCGGTAGATAACTCAAGTCGAGGTGAAGCCGAAGGGATAAGTCGGTAGTTGGAGAATAGAAGTGAAACTGATAGAGAAAGAGAAGAAGAAACAAACAAACGAGAAGGGAAAGGACGAAACGAGGATTGCGGTGTAAATGAGATGAGATTGTGGTGGTTTTTGGACAAAAGAGGCGCGGCACCTTTACAGATTAGGCCAGCGCCAGCAGTGGCCAGAACGGTCGGCAGAGGAAATGGGGAGAGCACAGCGTAGCCCAGCACAGCACCAGCACAGCGAAGGAGTAGGTGGCGTAGGTGGTAGTAGGCGTTAGGAGTGAGTTAAAACGACGCAATGATAAAAAGTTGGTGCAGAGCTGAAACCGAAGGGACCGGTCGTTGGAAGTTAATATTGGAAGGAAGGTTCGTCAGAGGCGTATCTTGGGCGACCGAGACGTTGGTGGTTTGGGGCTGATAGCTCTCGACTCTCAATCAATTGACTTCACAAGTCAAGTCCTCTAGGACCCCTTTGGCCCTAAAAGATTGACGTCTTGACAGGAATGTGAAGGGAAAGAGATTGTCCTGTCAGAGTCCAAGACAAGACAAAGACGAGCTGTCTTCGATCCGTAGAGTAATTAACTCTTGGCTCGCTTGTTCCTTTGTTTAGAAGTGATCAACCAAGACCAAGCAAAACCAGAGCCAGAGGGGGGCTGTGAAGGTAAAGGGGCCGCGCGAGACGTTTCACAGCGAGGTGCGGCGGGCACTAGACGAGTAGATAAAACGGAGATTCGCAGTCTCTTTCTCGCCGCTCCCCTAAAAGTTAAGGGTGGCACAGGGCACTTGATGGGCAGAGCGAGGATCCGATGGATACGTAGTGATGGTAGTCTGATGACTGAGATTGAGATTGAGAGGGATAAAACGGCAAGGTCGATCGTATAGTAAGATATGAATAGAGGGTAGAATACGGTGCAGCAGGAAGGAAGATTCCCAATCTCAAGTAAATGTGGGTAGCGCAGGGTTTATGACGACTGCTGCTTTCGCGTCTCTTCTTGTCGCTGTCGAGTGTCGACTTCTTAAAAGTAGAAAGGTTGGCAAGAGAACAAGGGTGCCCCTCAATAGGTCTTTTTTTCGTCGTGACAGTTTTGAATCTGAGTGGCGGTGATGAATTGAGATGAGAAGATTGTCCTCAAGGTGCTATGGTAACGACCATCGGGATCTACCTGAGAAATGGCGCAGGCTGGCGTATGCAACCGAATCGATAAGGTAGGCAACCACTGCAGACCACCTCACCTCACGCTTCACTGCAGTGCAGTGCAGCAGTGCAGCAAGTGGGACAGCCAAGGGTTCCTGTCGGGTTGGTGATGGATTTGGATTAGGATTAGGATTTGGTTGAGGGGGCTGGCTTGGCTGGCGGCTGGTTACCTCTGACTAGCGATATCGATTAATATTAATTAAAGATCCAGGGGATTATTAGCAGCGTAGTAACTAATCTATTGATCATCACAGTACTAACCCAGACAATGCAATTCGTTTATTATAGACAAGGAAACAATGTCGTACATATGAATATCAATTAATGCATTAACAAACCCATCTCTCGAAACAAATACAAGATCACCAACCCAGACTATCCTTCAGATACCACATGGATCAATGCACAATGCACGCTCATGGATCACCGAGACACAAACAGGGGTGGCCAGACACAAGGGACCTCCAACAACCGCACCATTCCACCAATGATCCAGGTACCAACCGTCCAGGTCCTGTCGTGCGTCCCAGGTCCTAATCCCCCGCTTGGTCGAAGCTGGGTGCGTGTGGAGAGTGTGAGCGGGTGCAGCGGCCTAGACCTTCTGAGACTTCTTCAGAGCAGGGGTACTTCTCTCTCTCAGTCTCTCTCTCCAACAACCGAGAAGCCATCACCAACCCAAAAGGTTATGGTATGGCTTGGTCGGATAACACCTATCGTCTTCAGGACCGAATAGACAACTAATCATCGTCTCAAAGTGACCAATTTTACCCCAGTGCCAACGCCTTGCCATATACATATTTCCTTGAAGGGAAAATAGGCAGCACGTAACATCCCTTTTATCCAGAGTTTAACACGATCTGCTTGCTAATGTACCATCATTTGTTTTAGTTGCCATCGCATCCGAGTCTTGTTTCGTGCCATGAAACTCTGAACCGCCAAGTCGCCGTCCACAACAAACACAAACCGTAAAACCATGTATGTAAGCTCTGCTCTAGTCTAGCCTCACGTAACGTAGCAAGTAGGGCGATATGATGCTATTGGTGACGTCTTTTGCTCTTCACCGCGCATTCGTATCATGCCAGATATCACGGACTTCGATAGCCGGTTCATGTAGGTCCTGTAGTTGACAAGTCTGCCGATTCAGATCCCAGTCTTCTGTCTTCACTATGATAAGACCAAATGAATACGGATACCATGCCCTGCTATAACTACCTGTTAATCAGTAATGCTCTCATATATGCCCACTGTAGATAACTCAATCCCCAATCACTCACTACAGTCTTGGCCGCCATCATCCACCAAAATCACTCAATGCCTTCTTTCCAAATGTGCCGGTTTATTCCAGCGATTTCTCTTGTCTTTCGTCATGGACTGATCCGTTCATTGGATCTCCCCGTGTCCCCCGCATCCGTCTTCCCGGTGTGTTGCTCCGGGCCCCTCTTTCTTCGGTCCAACTCGCTGCCTTTTTCCTTTCCACCCGGCTTGGCATCACCGAACACGAACGCGGCCTATCACCTTCTCTCACCATGAACCACAAGACCCAAACCACAATTATCCTCGCTTACTGCTATCCTGCTAATAAACATGAGGTGCGACGGCCCGGTTTCCAAAGCACCTGCCCAAGTGACAACAGTCGTAATCCGCCAGACTTCCATTGATGTCCATGTCTTATGAGGTCCAAACCCAACCGCAGACTGCCTGCATCATGGTCATGAGACATGGACAATCCCTCACACATAATCTTGAAGCGGTGTAGAAAGCACCAAATTCTTGCTCAATAAGAGACTGACATTCTCGATATGCTACCAAAACTGCTGCCATACATATCAGATTGCGCTCACACACTTGTTCCCCTTCTTTTGCCCTACTTCGATCCCTTCTTTCTTTCGAGTGCCTTGCGTCCTGCATTCCTCACACCATAACCACATTCTGGGTCCCATCGTCGAATCTGTACAGTACTCTTCGTGCATTCCCTCATCAACTCCCTGCCCCTGGCCCTGCTTCTGCTCCCTTGCCTCAACGACCGGTCTCTAGGAGAAGACACGGCACTTTCCGAGATAGGCAACTTGCCAAAGGTCCAGAAACAGAAACGCAATCAAGCAGCATGATGTTAAAAGTTTCAATCGTAACAAATTATTCTTCATTTGACTCCTGATTTTGGGGGATCAACTGTTACAAACAAACTAGCTATCAATACATAGCCCGGCTTTCTCCCAAAGACATTGACTGTTCATCAATGATCCGAGCGTAAACCGAAGGCCCTTCTCTCAAATTCCACGGCTGGCAAAACTATTTTGCTTTTCGTCCATGATGTGAATATGTCCGTCATATTTTTCTCCCCATAGCTACTGTTCCATGGAGGTGCCTTGCTTCGTCGAAAAATTAGACCATAAAACCTGAACTCCCAACCACAAACGCTTGTGCTGTTGCACACTGCCTATGTCCTGTCAGATATTGGGACGGCAGACAGCGTCTTCAAATCCAACTCTTTAAGATGAAGTTCGTCGATGAAAAGAAACAGTCGAGTAACAAACAAGTAAAAGGGAAATCTGCGGTGATGTGCCTTTAAGACACATCATCTACCAATTTGTGGCCGAGATCTTTTAGACATCCCACTCTTCCTCTTCCTCATCCTCATCAGCACCATCATCCTTAGTGGTCAGCGCTGTGTAGGATCCGTATGACTGTGTAGGTTGTGCAGCCTTGTTAGGTCCGGTAGGCTGCTTGGGTTGAGCAACAGGGCGAGCCGCGGCCTCGTCACCAGAACCAGCTGAAGGCGCATTCTTAGCAGCCTTCTTGGATTTGGTCTTGACAGTGCTCCATTCGTCGTCGTCCTGGAGCTGCTGGAGCTGCTCCTCTTCGGAGGGAAGAGACTCGATCCACTTGTTATCAGTCTTGGGGGCATTGACAGAGGTGGAAGGAGCCTTCTCGAAAGTGTCGAGGGGCTGCTGGAAACCGTTGGCCTGAGCGGCAGGTGCGTCACTGGCGGCCTTAGGGGCTCCCTCCTTCCAAGCAGACGACTTGTTCTGGGCAGCGGTGAATTGAGAACCATCCTTAGCAGCACGTCCCTCGGCAATACGAGCGGCACGGCGTTGCTTCTCCTCGAGAGCCTTGCGCTCCTTCTCGGTCTCCTCGCGAGCAGCCTTTGCGGCCTCAGCCTTCTTGCGGTTCTGACGCTGCTTCTTGGTCTCGACGGGAGCCTCGGCCTTGGGGGCCTTCTTGTTCTGCTTCTTGGGTTCGGTATCGGTTACACGAAGGACGGTTTGGCGGGCGGGAGCGGTTTCGAGCATGTCAGAGACATCGCCGGCAACTGCAACTGCAGGAGTAACCTCGGGGGTGGTGGCAGGAGATTGGTCATCATCGGCGTCGGCACCAGTGGTAGATGACTGGGCCGACTCCTTCTCCTCGGTTGCACCAGCTACCTTGTTGGCGCGAGACTGCTTGACAGACTTCTCTCGCTGCTTGCCAGAGTCAGATTTAGTGGCGAACTTGGTTCCCTCCTTAGCCTTTGCGAGCTGCTTAGCGAATTCGCGGTTGTCGATGTTTTCATCTCTTTCCTTAACACCACTTGACCAAGCAGTGGTTTCTGGTTCAGGCTTGGGCTTCTTGGAAGCTTCTTGGGCCTCTGATGCGAAAGCCTCCTGACGTTGCTTCTTCTTTCGATCTTCTTTGCGAGTCTCGAGCTGTACGCTCTTGGTTGGCTTGATTTGGCCCTTCGCTTGAGCCCTGGCCTTCTGAGTAGTCAACTGATAGATGACATACCCGACTCCAATCAAGGTGGCATAAGCCCCGAAGGTATAGATAATGCTGTCAGGCATTGTGGTAGATGAGCGTGGGCAGGCTCTGTGGTGATGATGGTTATAGAGCTACTTGGAGCTTCGTGCGAGCTTCGACACGCAGATCGGGATTCGGGGTTTGATAGGATACGCGTGCGATGTTAAGCACAGCGGCTGATAGTGGAACAGCGAGTTTTTCCTCCTCCTCAATTAACCAAGCAAAAGTAGGCAATTGCTCTGGATAGTTGAGAGATGGTGGACTGAGGGTGGGTAGGAGATCGAGCCAAGTAGGGGCCTAGGTTGTCGCAATTATTATAAGGCCAGATTGTCCTAAGCGAGCAACGAACCAATCGCCGCACGGGAAATGCCAACAGCAGAAGATGATGGACTGGGAAGAACAAAATGTATGAGGAGAAAAGTTGACGATGTGGAGGAAAGAAGGATAGGGGTAGATGAAGGTGAAGGAAATCAGTTGTTGAATTAATGAGTTTGGCGCAAATCAAACAGAGAAGACACCAGGTGGCTTGAAGTCAGTCAGCCAGTCGTTTTTGGGCTACCTGAGGCGAGGAAGGGTCGCGGGATGATTGAATTGGTTCCGACTGCAGGGGAGGTGACGGGAATCCGCTCAGAAAGCACCCGACGCCAAGGTAGTGGACAGTGTGCGACAGCTAAGCCCGGGGGAGCTCGAGGTTTCGAGTGGGGAGACGAAGTAGCTCTAGGGCAATGACTTGGTGGTGAGGTACTTTAGGGTCAAGACAGGTCTGTTACAGGACTTTTAGGGGAAGCCTTCCAATCAGTTAGTCAATCTCTCTCATATGAAAGAAGGAAAAGTTGTGTTTTACTCTGCAAGGTTTGTCGGAGGGAGAAGGAAGAGTGAAGACGTCGCCAGAAGAAGGGAAGGGGAATTTAGGTAAGCTCACGTTGTCTGTTCAAGTGGCGGAAGGTCCAATAGGTCTTTTGAGCCTCGAGTTCCTTCTCAATGTACCAGCTGGATTGGGGACAACCTAATAAGGAATTTGCGGTTTCAATTGGAAGATCAAAAGCATGCAGGGGCGCAAGAGAGCTCCTGCCTATGAAATTTCCTACCTGATTTCAGCTGTCAATAAATTCAATGAGAAGCAATAGTGGGTGGGGGGCAGCTATTAGTGGACAAGTATCAAATTCAGTGCAGCCATGGAGGGTTGCTGTAAACTGTCCGAATGCTGCAGGCTACCTTAGTACCTATGATGAATTTCATTACTTTGTTGAACGAACGAGACTTTATCAAATCATTGATTGGTTATCGACCGTGTAGGCTGATGTACACCTCTAAGCCTCATGGACATTGCAGTGAATGTGTGACTGAAAGCAGGTCGTTCAACATAGACTTCAGAGTGTCCCATCACGAACGAACAATCAATCATTAAAGGATAAGAATATGGCCAGCTAGATCAAAGTGTACAACCGTTTAAGTAGAACATCTTCCATTCTAGACACAAAGGCTATGCCATGGACAGGTAGACATGATGTACCCTGGCTGCATCGCACTTGATACCGAGGCTCCGGCTCCAGTATCGATCATGCTGATTGTTTATCTGGGCGTTATCATGAGGAGTCAAACTAGATACATGTGTTTTGCAGCATGATACATACCCCTGTAGCAACTCCCGTCTATTTGAATGACACTAGCAGTATAGCTTGTCAGGTGGGTGACAGGAGAATTGTCTTCTAAGGCTTAG